CGAGGCACAGCCTTGTCGAACAAGCTTGTTACTCGGCAACTAGCCTAAAATTAGCCAAATTTACACGCTCCTGCAATGTTATTTTTGCGCTGAGAATTCCTCTACGAGGGGCTTGTAAGTTTTTTACAGTGTAGGCGTCACCTTGTCGATACCTTGTCGATTCACCAACCCCAAGCTTGTTGGCCAGCAAACTAACAGTTTGTCTACAAGTTTGGTTCCAATTTGCATAGGCGTCACCTTGTCGATACCTTGTCGATTCACCAACCCCAGGCTTGTTGGCCAACAAACTAACAGTTTGTCTACAAGTTTGGTTCCAATTCGCATAGGCGTCACCTTGTTGAGTACTAGTCTGGGCCTTGTGGACCTACCAACTTCTGGATAGGCATAGTCGTTTCCTTGTCGGCTCACCAACCCCTGGTTTGTTGATGAACTAGCCTTTGACTGGGCATCGCTAGCTTACAAATTGTCAACAAGTAAGTGTACTAACGCGCTCTGTTCGAACTTGTTCTTCCTTACAATCGCTTTGTTTGCGTTAATAACCTTCAGAACTTACGATTCGCGTTCGTTTTCAATTGCCACGATACTGATTCAGGAAATATTTTCTAACGGACAGGCTATTTTTTGGCTGGAAGTGGTGCACAAAACCATGACTGGCATCAGTTATTGCTCAAAGGCTTGCGCTGTCAAGAAACGAAATACTGATGGGTTATATAATCAATGAATGCATACACCACATCCATTCGGAAGTTTCTGGAATCATTAGTATTTATTACGGTCACGTAATTAATACTATTGACTGGAGACAATTCCGAGTGCATATTTTCGAATGGATGTGGTAAATGCATGAGGTATAGGTATACCCAGTAATACCTATCGTGCACCGTCAGCATATAAGTCTTTGAAGCAAGAACTGCTGCGTATGTGGCAGAACATGGTTTTGTGCACCGCATCAAGCCAGAAGTATAGCATGCCCGTATGACGAATATTTCCTGAACATTGACCATAACAATCATGGCAGTTGCACCATCACGCAGATAATTCGAATAACTCATGATCGCCAACCAGATTAGCTTTTACAGCCCATATATGTCCATCAGTTAAGTTAAAAACACAAAGAGTTGAATTAAAGGCAAATAAATGTATTTATATGTTAAAAAAACACCGACCGCAAAACATCTGCTCACATGTGCATGCACAGGTCTGGCCCACTTACATTGCGCGCGCAGGGGAAGGGAGGCGTCTCGACCGCGGGTATAGGCACGATTAGTGCGTCCCGCAGGCCAGAGGGGGCCTCACTCACAGCACGAACACCACAGTTCACAGATTTCACTTTTTACTGCACAAATGCTGGAACAGCCCTCGTCGCTGCTCCAGGCTGCACGGCGGCCGCGCGACAACTGCTGGTTCGAAACCGCCGCGCCGGGGCCCGCTAACGGCCGGCGGCGACCACTGATTGGTCCGCCAAGTCTGACGTCACCGGCGTAGCTGACCATGTGTATGCTGACCAGCTGACCATTACAAGTTAGGCGCCGGTTAAATAACCATGCGGCAACAAGTTTCCAAAACTGGTTAAGAAACAAACGTTGAAACAAATGTAGAGTTGGTCTGGATACTGAGAAGTTGGTGTGCATAGTAACTATTGACTCGTAATTGTCACCTGACAAGCAATGCACCAGACAACGGCTTGTTTAAAAAGTATCAGTTGGTAAACATACCAAGAGATGATTGGTTATATTACACAAGACTTGTCAATTTGGTTTACAGTGTAGAGTGACCGGCACCCGAACTCACAAAAACATTAATTGACTTTGCCGCCGACCTCCCGGCCCCGCCGCCCGCCCGGCCAGACTATGCCCCCGCCACAGCCACCATCCGGTGTAGCTCAGCGTAGGAGTGCTCGACTGTCAAACTGACCGGTAGCGAGGGGCACGGTTCGAAACGCTTCGGATGCTGGATGTTTGTTTCTCGGTGGGACGCTTTGCGTTTAGTCCACTTTTCAGAATGATCATTTGGTGATTGACCTGTTTTCTTTCTTTGCTGCAATTCATGAAGAGACCGTATGCACCCTTACCTGTCCTTCCGCACCCCACTTGGGAGATGGGTGAGTTGACCCCCCCCCCCCCATGGGTTTGTGAATATCTCTAAAACGAATTTTTGGAGGGGGGATACGATCGGTTCCATGCGACAAGTGACCACACACGCCCAGCCCCAGGTCCGCTCACTCCCTATCCATATCACCCCCTCCCCACACCACACTCCAGCCCGCCTCATCCACCGAGCCGAGCCATAACGAGCCTCAGCGCCCCGGGGCGCGACCTGTCAGCGAACCGGCGGGGACGCGGGCCGGCGCACAGTGGGGATTTTTCCGATCTAGCACGTATTTATTCGTAGAGGGCAAACCATAGGTAGAATTGTAGCCAGATTGTGCACATATATTGGCTGGTGTGTCCTGGTGAGAATTTTACCTGTAAATGTGCATAATCAACATAGTATAGGGGGTTCAATTGGACCCCCCGCTCAGCCATTTGGCCCCTGATCAAGCTAGAGCTTCGCGGAAAAGTCAAGCGTGCTGCCTATGACGAAATGAGGCCGAATATATCCAATTTCAAAGTCCAAGGTCATAAGCTGACTTTCCAAGTCAGTTTAATGACCCAACTAAAGTTGGGAAATCGAGACCTCTTGAAACTTCGCAAAGTTAGGGTGTTACGGGGTATTACGGGGTATTTTGGGGTGCTGATCACGAATTTCATGTTAGTTTTGATCACAGACGATGTCTTTATGCATTTAGGCCAGGTCGGGTCAGGTCAGGTAAGATCAACTCTGCCGGCCATCCATAGAAGTGTCACCTACTACTGATAGCTTCGTAGCATGGAACGAAGGCACCAGAACTACTTCGTAAATATTCAAATGGCTGCTAAAATCGAAATCAGCACCAAAAACTACCCTAGAAACAAGTAAAACTCGAAAAAGTGAACCAAGGTCATCAAAAGGTCAATGACCTTGACTTGACCTTCACGTGACCTTGCCACCCACCATTATGCATGGCACCAACATCATTTCACATATTTGAACGTTTAAAACCACAAAAAGACTGGAAACCGCGGATAATGTGAGCTGGCATACGCCGAATCGCGATTCCGGCCAAACATGGTCTCGAGAAATATGCCACAGGTCAAAGGTCAGTTGGGTCAGAGTCATGAAATTTTTAGGTTAGATGTAATATTGATGATCTCGAGGGCACCGAAAGTTTCGGCGCGATCGGCCGCTTTTTGCGCGAGTAATTTGCGGAAAACCATGGGGTTTTATCCGACCCCTTCCCCCTCCCCCTCCCCACAAGTGCGATGGTTAATAAGGTTACGGTATGTATAATTTACGCTTGTCATCCTATTCCTAATGAATGTGTCTCAGAAAATATGCATCATATAAATCACGAAGTAAAATTTTTCGCCTATGTCCGGAACATACCTATATCGTGCTGTTTGCCCTAGCGCTCCTCGAATGGGGTGTTAAGATACTCTAATGTGAATATTCCGTGTTCAGGCAAGTTTCGGCAGCCACACTAGGCGTTGTCTTGTGCAGGAGAAAGTGGCGAATTCGATAGGATATATTTCGGAGTGGAAAAGTGTGGAGAACATTGTTGATTTCCTACATTTATTTAGAATACCATTCCTTCAATATGGTGTCTGTAGGTTTTTTTTTTGTAAATGGCATTTTTGTGACCTTAGTAAGGTTGTGGCATACTTTCTGTTTGCCATTCCATTCCTAATAAAGGTGCCTTTCAGACGATATGCAACTTTATAACCTCGCAAGATCAAAACCAACAGGACAGGACAATGAAATGAAGCTATACTTTCGGGCCTTGCTGAGCCCATTGAGTAATCACGCATGAGTGTGAACTTTGGGCGCATTTTTCCTAGTTTTGCTGTAGACATACAGATAAAACAATGCCATATATGAAAAATTCAGACATTTCTTAGCCCCACTGACACAAAAAATAAACAAAAATCCAAAAAAGATTTTTTGAATTAATAGGCGCTAGATCGGAAAAATCCCCACTGTGCGGCGGTTGCGTGCGCCGCGGGGGCAGGGGCGCGTCCAGGCGTTGGGGACATCGAGGCGGCGCGAGCTGGCGCCGCCACGGCGACACTGGACCAGACCTGATTGGACACCTCAACATTCATGGTCGTTGAAACCCAAACTGCCGGATCTACGAGACGACTTTCATAGAGTTCACGGATTTGATATATTGTCACTGTTATTATATAACAGTGTTCGCTGACAGGTCGCGCCCCGGGGCGCTGAGGCTCGTTATGGCTCGGCTCGGTGGATGAGGCGGGCTGGAGTGTGGTGTGGGGAGGGGGTGATATGGGTAGGGAGTGAGCGGACCTGGGGCTGGGCGTGTGTGGTCACTTGTCGCATAGAACCGATCGTATCTCCCTCCAAAAAATTCGTTTTAGAGATATTCACAAAACCCGTGGGGGGGGGGGGGGGGCAACCATCCATCTCCCAAGTGGGGTGCGGAAGGACAGGTAAGGGTGCATACGGTCTCCTCATGAATTGCAGCAAAGAAAGAAAACAGGTCAGTCACCAGATGGTCTTTCTGAAAAGTGGATTTAACGCAAAGTGTCCCACTGAGAAATAAATATCCAGCACCCGAAGCGTTTCGAACCGGGCCCCTCACTACCGGTCAGTTTGACAGCCGACAAATTAACCTCACTCTCATTCTATCTAAAAGTAAATTCCGGATTCGAAATAAAACAAACTTTTTGAGAAGCTTTCGGCATTGCGCCATCATCAGCTCTGGAGTTTTATTTGCAAACGTTTTCTCAGCTTCTCAAACAAACACAGCGTCTCAAAAAGTTTGTTTCATTTCGAATCCGGAATTAACTTTTAGATAGAAAGAGAGTGAGGTTAATTTTCTTACTATCAGCTCAGTATTTGATTAGGAGCGCGTTTGGTATTTGTCACGTCTGACGCCGCCCGCGCGCCCTGTGCCACAGCCGGGCCCGGCCCCAGCGACACCGCCTGGAGCACCGTTTACAAGCTGCTGCTCATGCTCTGGATCCTGCTCGGGCTCGGCTACTGGGTGCTCGTGCTCGACTTCCTACAGAGGACGCTCAAGTCGAAGGAGGTGCTACAAGCGCTGCAGGGCACCTCTCGGCTGATGGGCCGCGAGGCGGCCGAGCTGCGCGCAGCGCTCACAGAGCTCGGCGTGCTGCGGCCGGACGCCGCCTTCGTCCCGCAGCACTCCAAGGCGGCGCTCAGCCTGGTGCTGGGCGTCAGCCGCAGCCTGGCGGGCACCGCGCCGCCGGCGCACACCACTGCCGGCCTGCCCGGCATCCACGCCATCGGAGACGGCCTGCTGTCGGCGCTGCTGTCGGCGCTGCCGGCCTCACCCTCCGACAGCCCTCAGGCGGCCAGTGGGGGCGCCGTCAACGAGGGCTGCCGGCCCGCAGACGGCTCGCAGCGGCAGCAGCCACCGGGCCCGCAGTGACAGCGGCGCGGCGCGGCACCGGGCCCGCAGTGACAGCGGCGCGGCACCGGGCCCGCAGTGACAGCCGCGCGGCACCGGGCCCGCAGTGACAGCGGCGCGGCACCGGGCCCGCAGTGACAGCGGCGCGGCGCGGCACCGCCCTGCTGCAGCCGGCTATATAGCCCTGCTGCAGCCCGAACAGGTGGCGTGCCGGCCGCCGGCAGTGGCACACACCGTGCCACAACTTTTTTAACCAAACACGTACACATCTGATAGAATGAATGTTACCATCGTGTTCTACGCCCAAAATTGCCCATAAAAAGCATGTATCACAGGCTGTGAATATCAGTTTTGATTTTCGGGGATATGTGCCTACCTGGTTGACCTGACCTTTCACCCTGACCTATGCTTGACTGACCCCTACATGGATCTGACACTCTTGTAGGCCTTATATGAATGATTGTGCACGGTTTTGACAGAGTTTATGACGAGAGGCGCATTGCGAGGTTCTGAAGTCCATGCTACTGAAAGCCCGATTTCAGGTGTTTGACCTGACCTTGACCCGACCTCTGACCCCAAAATTCAATCAATTTCAAAATATTCATCTGAAGCGTTTCGTCGCGTTCTTTCGTTTGTCGCCTCGTGCGTTTCGCTGCGCCTATTGGTTCTCGAATTATCGGCTGGGGGCGTTTAACGCCCCCCCCCCCCCTCAGCAAACGGCGTGTGGCGAAATACCCCAGCAACTGCCGGGCTAAGGGCGCACTTAATAAAAAATGGAACTTGTTTTAAATAAAGAATCATTGTGCTGAGTGCTAACATATTATATTTTCTAGAACACAATTGTTTGACGCCAGCAAATGTGTTCCTATATGTTCACTTACAGGGTATTCCAGAAGTTCGATCTCACCTTATATTTGCGAATAAAACAGAGCTAAGAAATGCTTAGTATTGCCATACAATGAGGGGTTAACGAGTTTCAAAAATATCTGCCGGGAAGAGGGTGTGGGCGTGGCTTTTACATACCCAAATACTATATCAAAGACCCTGATACGAAACAAACCAAAAAGTGGAGCCAGTGTTGGTGTGTACACCATTCCATGCAAAGAGTGCCCTGACACTGCTTATGTGGGAGAAACTGGACGAAATTTAGAAAAACGAACTTACGAACACCGAAGAGACATACGCGTGGGAAATGACAAAAGTGCCATTTTCTGTCATGTTAGAGACTACCAACATTCAATGGACTTCGACAGGGCCAAAATTGTTTTTCATTCTGATGACTACATTAAACGCCGTGTTGTAGAATCTGCTCTTATTAGTACGACTAGAAACATAAACATGTCACAGGGTCATTTTGCATTTCACAAGGTCATTTCCGGAATTATTAAAGCCAGGTTTTACAAGAGAAGCGCCATTTGAACGGTGTCATGTGTCTGCGTGCGAAGAAATCGATGTCATCGGTATAATGTCGCTTGATGTGTTGATCTGTGCAATGTGTGTAAACTTTGACAAGGGGTCGAGATGACCCGAAACTGTTGAACTTGGCAAAAAAGCAAACAAACGCCCGTTATGCTGTCATTTTTACACAAACATGCATATATATATATATATATATATATATATATATATATATATATATATATATATATATATATATATATATATACAGTGTAACATTGTATTGTGTGCGCGCTCGTGTAGTATGTTAAGCTTAACGGAGTACGGAACATTGTACATTGCTTCTCCGCAATGAGGATTCTACTCGCTAAGAACCTCGTTTTAACAAGTGTGAAAAACCAAAAATAACTGTCACAAAATGTCTCTTTGTTGGAAATCGTGTACCATGAAACATGTTTTACTTTATTTAACAACATTTGTGATCGCTCATGTCGTGCTAAACATAATTAAGCTTGAAAATGGTTTTGGAAAAGCCGAAACGTCGCTAGCTATTAATGAATACATGAACTTTGGGGATCTCATTTTTGACTTACCTCAGGATCAAAAACTTCTACTTCGACATATCGAACAAACACGCAAGAAGCTAACAAAAACAAGATATTCCCTGGCCTTAAACAAAACTTGTCTAAAAGAAAATGTTCTGCCAAAATACACTGATATATATATATATATATATATATATATATATATATATATATATATATATATATATATATATATATACCTTGACCTGACCTTGACCTGACCTCTGACCTACTTAAGCAAAAAAATTTGGGCTCTTAAGATCGCCTTGTTGAGAGCTTTCGATTGCCGTTTTCCCTGTCTTTCTACGACCATCGGTTCGGAAGTTAGACAGGGGGGGGCAGAATCTGCCCCCCCCCCCCCAGCAGGGCGCGTATGGCTGAATAGCCCAGCGGGGCGCGGGTTAAAGTGCCTGCCACTTCAAGTTAGACCTACCTATGTAATTATACCAACCGAATATTCCATACCATATTAAAAAGTTAACTTTAGGAACATCATGATAATTTTTGCAGTGTGAGGTGGGGCAGGGGACAGTGTGAGGAGGGTCGTCTAACAGTGTGGGGCGAGTTGTCTAATGTATAACAATGTGAGGCGGGCCGGGGGACTGTGTGAGGCGGGGCGGGAGACGGTGTGAGGCGGGGCGGGCAGTGCCGCCGGCGGCGTCCGCGGTCCACTGCAGTATTGATCGGGTCGGTCGGCTGTCGCGGTCGCACCGGATTGTCCGTCGGCGCGCCGTCAGTGTGCACGGCTCGGTGGCACTGGCGACTGTCGGCTTGACAGGCTGAGGCCGCGGCGGCTGGTCCGTGACCCGTGCGGTGTGCTGCAGCCAGCGGCCGGCAGCCGTCCGACATGGCCGGTGAGGGGCGGCGTCCCACCCTCTCGGCGCTGCTCAGCGGCCGGCCTAAGTCAGCAGCGCGGCCGACGCCGGCGCTCGTCATTACCGACGGAGCGCAGAGCTCGGCGTCGTGCCGAGACGGAGTGAGTCCAGCCTCCAACAGCAGCGCCGTCCCGGAGAGCGGCAGCCCGACGCAGGCCCGGCCGGAAGGTCCGCACAGCCGTCCGGCGCGCACCGGTGAGCGACGGAGAGACGACTCAGAGACGGACAGACGACTCAGAGACGGACAGACGACTCAGAGACGGACAGACGGCTCAGAGAGGGGCCAGAGACGGACAGACGGGCGAGAGACGGACACACCGCTGAGAGACGGGCCAGAGACGGACAGACGGCTGAGAGACGGACAGACGGCTGAGAGACGGACAGACGGCTGAGAGACGGACAGACGGCTGAGAGACGGACAGACGGGCGAGAGACGGACACACGGCTCAAAGACGGGCGAAGACGGTCATACCGCACAGATATTAAACTGGAGCTCATAAATGAGTAAAGCTCAATCTTCTGATATCATTCCAAATAGCTTGCTTGCGGTGCAAAACACTTAGGAACCAGTATAACGCCTTTTGGGGCGAGTAACGGAGCGAGCGAGAGGGTGAGCCTTGCACGTGCGAAATTTCGAGGGGGTACCTCCAACTAACTTGTGCTCGGCACCCTACTAACCGGTCTCTAGCGATGTGCCAAATATTACCACAATCGGCCCAGCCGTTCTCGAGATCTGGAAGCGGCACCCTGCACGTGCGCACGTGCAAAATGGGTCCCAACTGACTTGTGCACGGCACCCTACTAACTGGTCCCTAACCGTGTACCAAATTTGAGCGCCATCGGTCCAGCCGTTCTCGAGATCTGGAATCGACCCCTGCACGTGCGCACGTGCAGCAGCACCCCAACTCTGGCACATGGATATGCAGTGCCTAGTGGGTGCCTACCTACATGCCAACTTTCAGCGCAATTGGCCAAGTAGTTACCGAGATATTGCAACAATTACAAAACTGACACCTCTTCGTTTTGCACGTGGCACGTGCATAAGGGGTCACCCACATGCATCAGGAATAGTCCAATACTTGGTAGAAGGAATGACGCTACCCTACAAAAATTACCGCATGTAAATCGGTCAATTGGTTGCTGAGATATAAGCCTCGCAAAAGCGTCCGCACGGCCGGCCGGCCGGCCGCTCATACTCAGAAATTTCCGTTAAAGGGAGATTATGACCTTTTTCCACAAAATCTGAGTTAGGACCATTTTCTGACAAAACACAACAAGTTATAATGTAAATTAAAACCATTTTGCTCAATTCGGTACCTTGCCGCAAATATCTCAACTTGAAGTCACGTTAGCGGGGAGCGCTGAAAATGACCGTTGAATAAGTACTTACATCACTTTTTGGTACTTGCATGTAATTTTGTAAAATGAGCGTATTCTTCACATTTGATCTTCATCACATCTAGTTAGTTAATGGTCGTCTATAGTGCCTTCAAAAGATATTAATGGTTTGGGGGTGGTTTATGTCTAAATTTACGCAACTATTTTTCCTGTTCATCATCTGTGGCCATATGCTGCTATTTTAGTAGCAACGACTCAATTTTGAATCGGTCCCGCCGACTGCACAATAAAAGAAGATAGATACAACACTTTTGCGGCATCACTGAAAAACTTATGCAGTACTGTTATCAAAATTCTCATAACACCGTTCGACAAACCTGAAGTATTTTTGAAATAAATATGCTTGTATTTTTCGCTTCAGGCTCTAAGGCCAAAATAATGAATTTCGTAGTCGCAATCGCAAGATTTGGCTGCGTTTCTGGCGCATGCCGTTCATTTGTGGCGCAAAATAATACTTGGAAACAAAGAAGAGTAGGCACTATGTACCCCCGAATTAGAAGCTAATTAATTCTAAACCGAATTAACTCTAATTCAAATTAGAATCCTTACAACCAAGCAACGACAAGGCGATAACATAAACAAAAACCCAAGCGTCGCTGTTTGAAACAAAAGCGCCATATACTGCGACTTTTTTTATAGAGAAGGACAACGCATATCGGTGGGTGTTACAAGTACTGCAAGTACTGCTTCTTTTTTGCAAAAATAAAAACCTTTTTCACATACGAAAATGTGCTAGGAAATTTTCATATTTTATAGAAACTTCAGTAGAAATAGTATAGATGTCGAGTAATTTTTATTTAAGAAACAAGAAAGCTCATTATCTCCCTTTAAAGGAAATAGTTCACTTTCACGAAATTATTTTTTTTGCAATGGATTTATGATTTTTTATGTTCAAAATGATCAGCGAAGAAAATAAAACCTTTTTATAACAAAAGATTATTTTCTATATTTTGATATAGGAAGAACTTTTCAGTTTCTGTAAGGCACACGCGATCCAGTATGAAAAGAGCATGGGTCCCGAAAATTCTTCAGAAACTAGAGAAATTATCGCGGCCACCGGCATTTGGGCGATCTGCTCGTGCTTTTGTTACTGGAGCGCCTCTTTCCCCGAGATTGCGCCGGCCGCCTGCCATGGACGAAAAATACACGACTTTGAAATCCGGCTGATCGTGGGAAAATACCGCCAGAGGTCTCGGCTATATGCAGGAATTCACCGGGATGTATAGTATATACCACTGCCTCGATGTAGAGGCTATAGCCTGTAAGCTGGCTTTGGTGCAAACTGCAAACATGTCAAACATGGTATAGGGTGGATTGTCGATTGATGTAAGCGAATCAGACGTTCAATTGACAATTTCCGATTCTTATTCGATAATTACGGCCAATTATATTTTATTTTAGGAAGTGTTATTAGGAGCGGAGCAATACAATCTCATTTCTCCCCTGTCTCTTTACCTATCTCTCAAATCAAATAAGAATATCGCAGAGCTATCGGATGAGAGCAGCTGTTTGTTTCCGGTGTTTGGGAGAGATTAACCCTCGCACTTATTAGGGGGTCGGCTAGACCCACACATCGTTTTTCGAAAAAAAATGGGTAAAAAGTGTTCCATCGGGGTGAAACTTTAAGTAATTTCGTGATAATCAATTCTACACGTTTCCTGAAAATTTCATGACCCTGCCACTCGTAACCCTTGACCTGTAACCTGCTTGTCGAGACTATGTCAGGCCGGAATCGCGATTCGACGTATACCACATTATCTATGCATTTCCAGACTTTGTTGTGCCTTATAAACGTGCCAACACGTGAAATGATTGTAGTCTCATGCTTTATAAATTGGTGCCAAAGGGCACTCAAAGGTCAGGTCAAGGGCATTGACCTTAGATTACTTTTAGTCACTTTTTGGAGATGTCAATTTTGGAGATGATTTCCATGTCAATTTTGTCAAAATGTCAATTTTAAAGCAAAAAATTGTCAATTTGGGATTTTGTCGAATCTAGAGCCCATTTGAACATTTGAGAAGTACCTAATTTTGGTGCCAAATGCCAATGCAACATGTTACGAACTATGAAGCTGTCACTGGCAGTCAACACCTTTGACTAGCTGGCGTAACACTTACCGGTTGACCTGACCAGACCTGACTCGACCTATGCCAAATGCTAAAAATGCTAAGAAAGGACTCAGGTTCAGCGCAAAATTTTGTGCTAGGTAGCATTGAGGCTGGAGGTTTGTATTTTCTATTTGTTTAATCGTCTAGTAGGGCAATGTGAGGGGGCAACAAACTTATATAAAAACATGGGCCAGGCACTGCGGATCCAGAAAGGCGACGCTGCGGGAAGTGCATACACTCAAAGAAGTCTCTCCAAATTCCAAAAACTGATCGAATTTGTATTCCTTACGCGTTACTGTGCACTTTAAAGCAAACTTTTCGTAATAAAAGTTAAGTTTTCGTCTTATTCCTGAAACGAAAACGTAAATTTCCGTGGATTTCTGGCGCTGCCGGGTTATTTGTCCCAAAAGCCCCCTCCTCCTGGATCTGCCAGTGGGGTATTGGCCAGCTGTTTCACCAGTGATAGCAGCACGCTGCATAGCTACGTTTAGAACAGAGTTGCTGTCTCGTTGAATGCGTTTGATACATTTGTTTGATCGCACGGCCGTGAAGATGTTAGCATCAATATTTCATGACATCACACAGTTTGACGACGCCATGGTTTGTTGATGTTTCCATGGAAACCCAATTTGACACGTGTAATAGCAGCGTGTTGCTATCACCGGTGAAACAGGGCCCAGGTGGCCTACCAAATGTTTTTTTTTTTTAGAAAAAAACTATCGTATCAGGGCTATGACGAAAAAATAGGTGGCCTAAATCCGATGAGAAGACAGGATTTGGGGGTACCCTAGGAGTAGGTTTGGCTCCGTGACCTGGTATGCCCCCCCCCCCGCGCTGAAACCCTGGATCCGCCAGTGCGTGAAATAATGCATTAAAGATTAAAGAACCATGCAAAGTTAGCCCTTTTGGCTTTTACTAGTTTTACTGGCAAGCGCAAGGGCGATAATGTTCCCCTGAATGTCCTTATTGATCAGTACGAGAATTTCTCTAGAGTTCTCGTAGATAATTTCTCTAGTTTCTGAAGAATTTTCGGGACCCATGCTCGTTTCATACTGGATGCAAATATATGCAAGGCACACATCCTCAACGCAAGACACCTTTTTCGGGACGAGAAATAGAATATCTTTGCCTAGGGCGATCGTTGGGCTGTAAAAGTTCCTGATTTATGCTCGTCTCAGCCCAAGCTACGGAACTGCTATTCCAGTTCAAAACCCATGTTAAAATGTGAACTATTTCCTTTAATCTAAGGAAGGACTCCGCTCGCTTCGCTCGCTCCGTAACAAACAAAACCACTTTCCAAAGCCTTACCGAAACAATAAAAATGGTAAAATTGACCTTGCGCTCATAATATCAGATAAATTAATTGAAAAAGGCCCAGAATATAAATACTCCAGTTATTTATTTCCTTTTTTCTCATCCTAGGATTTTTTTTCTTCTTCATCGGCACACCCAACCAAAATCCAATTTTAGAACACAGTGGAGCATGTTTTCTTCATGCGTCTCAATCTGACTTCTGAACTGAAAGCCTTTTTCTTGATATGGTTTTGAGATGTAAACGAGTTTCTTCAATATTTTGAGGAATTCCTTTTGTTATCATGCTTGTAAAAAGCAGAAAAATAAGGCTATAGCTTGAGCTGGCCCGGTGCATGAACCCAAAGTTTAAACTTTACGAGCTGCATTTCAATTGCA